GAGTACATGCGGGAATACTCTACCCATTACTCACGGGTTCCCCATCGCACAACCTACTCTATTCTCTTTTTCTCTCTTTTCTCTTAATAAAGCTCACACTCAAAGTGCTCTACTCTTTTTTTTTTTTCTACTCTTTCTCTAATGCATAATTAGTGCATGTGGATGATTCATGCTCATTAATGCACCATGAAATGAACAAATGCAATGTTGTTCCAAAATCGTCATTCTGCATAGGTCACACTAAAAAGGGCATAACTTGTGTTATACACATCGGATTGCTACGGTTTTGGTCTCCTTTTAAAGCTTAGAGACAGAACTACAACTTTGATGTTTTGGTCTAAACCTAGTTCAATTTGTAAGACACCCAAAAACCACTCAGAATGTCACGGCTGTGACAGGGCAGTTTCTCCCTTAGGCATTTTATCAAACAACTCATGTACATACTAAAGCTCTAATTATCTATAACTCTACTCTTCTCTTTAACCATCCAAAATGGAAGGAAAACTCCCTTATACACTCTAATTTCCTGTCAAGGCAAAACACTCCCATAGGGTTTGCTCAAAACTCCCTCCAACTTCAATCAAACTCAACTCATCATCATGCAATCATATCACTTCTCATAACTCAATTATATTCAATATCAACATAGATAAATACTCATAACATCTCAAACTCTCAGCAAGCATAATACATACATACATACATACATATACATACACAATCTCTACTCAAATGAATTCTTAAATCTCAATTTAGGTTGGATTTACACCTTGGGAAAAAGTGACTTCTCTAGCACTTTTCCTTTCCTTTATTGTCTTGTCTTCTCTCTTCAACTTAAAACAACAACAAGAACAATAATAACAATATAAGACTTCAATATAACCATAAGCAAAACTCATATCTAAAGTAAGAATCTTTACCTTAGGATGCTTTAGATGAAATCTCTACTCAAAATTACTCAAAAGCTCTCTTAAACCCCTTAGAAATCTTAGAAAAATTGAATGGAAGATTGAGAGAAATTAGAGAATGGATATGGCGGTGGAAAATGGGTGAAATAAAGGGTTCTCTACACTTAACCCTTTTTAGCTCATATTAAAACCATCATTTCCCATTTTGCCCTTACTCTTCCTTGGAAATTTCATCTATATCCTTTGATTCTTTGCAAATACACCCTTATCACCAATACATTCTCTACTAAATTTCCTTACATTTTACTCCCCACTTTTCCTACTAATTAGGGGTAGAAATGTCATTTTTAACCCTATGAAGAATTCTCTAGAATCCTCAAGAAACTTTTCAACTGGCTCGTCGCCCCGACGAAAAGTTACAGAACCGACACCGCCTTACTCAAGCCAACATCGCCACGGCGAAGACTGAAATTTTAAGAGTCCTCAAAACTTAACCAATTTCAAGGTAAACACTCAACCAACTCAACATACAAACTCAATTAAAACCGAATCAATGAATACAGCAAATCTTAACTACGTACCTCAAGCGGGGCGTTACACCAGTTTAACCAATAGGTCGAATCGTGACGTCAACATGATGCAATGAAAAAATAAACCCTAAAATACAATTTCTTTGTAAACGCATCCCATATCTGGCCACTTATCTTGATCAACATCAATGCACTCTAATGCGACACGTATCAACTTCACTGCCACATCAATCAGAAAAGAGTCCCTCGATCTTCTATCAATCCACCTTAATCTCCCCACCCTTCCACCGCCATCATCACCTCCGTCATTGCCAACCTTACCCTAAAGATAGCAATAACCGTCATTGCCAGCCTTATCCTAAAGATATCAACAATCGTCATTGCCAACACTGCCACTAATCCACCACCATTGCACCTCTCTACCCTCATTGCACCCTACTATTGTCATCGCCCCCCTCAACTCTTATCTCTCCACTCCCATCCAATAGTGTTTCCAAAAAAAAAAAAAAAATCTTTTGGGATTTGTTGGCCATATCTAAAGCTATTGTGCTTTTTGTAAAGAAAAATGGTGATTTTTGTGAGGTAATACGTTCAGTAGTGTTTTTAAAGAAATTTCAAGCATTTCGACACCTATCCCAAAGCTCATAGTAGTGGTGTCTTCTGCTAGTTTAAGCTTTATCTTCCTCAAGAAAGGTTGTGCGGAGGCAGTAGAAGAGATGTTGCAGGTTATTTCAAACCATTCATTGAAGAAGCAACCTTCTCCAATTCCAAAGGGATATCTTATTTGGACTTTACCACAACTTGTTGGACATGATGCTTCAGATGCTTTGAATTTGATTGTCCAAAGTAACAAATTGATTATGATCTGCAACCACTGTTTTAAAACCTGGCCTGACTTGGCCGGTTTAATCGAGACCCAGAAGCTTCACCGGGTCGGGTTTACATTGTTTTTATTCATCCAAAATCCTAAAATTTGGGATGATGATCGGCAAACAATTGAAGGCCGGGATGTTGGGGTTTTTGAAGAAAAAGTTCCAGTGAGTGCAATGGTGGTGACGGAGTTGATTTCCGATGAGTAAATCGGCCGGAAATTAAAAAAAAAATTGGCGACGGCAACAACCGGCTTTTGCTAGCGATTGGCGAGGCTAACGAGGGTGGGATGAGGTGGGTTTTGGTCGGGAGAAAGAGGGGAGTAGTTTCAGGGTGATGGGGAGGGTTTTTGACGCCAGCGTCGATGAGATCTGGCTTTGAATGTCGACGTCGGCGTTTATGAGATTTGGCCAAAATTGAATCGATATCGGCCATATCTTGGGTAGATTTTCAGGAGACTGGGCTCAAGGGACGATTGGAGTTCCATTAGGGGTGTTATCACCGCTAACTAGTCGTTGGGCGATTCGTATTTGGGATGTGTTTGCGAAATTTTAAACTTATAAGGACTTAACTTAATTTTCAGGGATGTATTTACTAAATTTTAAAATTTTTTGTCAGCTGGTTTGACCGTCAGTCAAATTGGTTAAACTAGTCAACCCGAGACCCGACAATTTTGCCAGGTTTCACCCCGAGTTGGGTTTTAAAACGTTGTCTGCAACAACAACAAATGAAGATGATTAACAACCATAATTAATTAATTATGGTTGGCCCTCCTTTTTCTTTGAGAATTGATATCAGGGAGAAGTTTTTGGGCGAATATCTCACTCAATCATACTGCAATCTAACCACCTAATGAGACACAAACCTCGTCGAACGACGACTACAGTGCTACCAANTTCAGTAGTGTTTTTAAAGAAATTTCAAGCATTTCGACACCTATCCCAAAGCTCATAGCAGTGGTGTCTTCTGCTAGTTTCAGCTTTATCTTCCTCAAGAAAGGTTGTGCAGAGGCAGTAGAAGAGATGTTGCAGGTTATTTCAAACCATTCATTGAAGAAGCAACCTTCTCCAATTCCAAAGGGATATTTTATTTGGATTTTACCACAACTTGTTGGACATGATGCTTCAGATGCTTTGAATTTGATTGTCCAGAGTAACAAATTGATTATGATCTACAACCACTATTTTAAAACCTGGCCTGACTTGGCCGGTTTAACCGAGACCCAGAAGCTTCACCGGGTTGGGTTTACATTGTTTTTATTCATCCAAAACCCTAAAATTTGGGATGATGATCGGCAAACAATTGAAGGCCGGGATGTTGGGGTTTTTGAAGAAAAAGTTCCAGTGAGTGCAATGCTGGTGACGGAGTTGATTTCCGATGAGTAAATCGGTCGGAAATAAAAAAAAAATTGGCGACGACAACAACCAGCTTTTGCTAGCGATTGGCGAGGCTAACGAGGGTGGGGTGAGGTGGGTTTTGATCGGGAGGAAGAGGGGAGTAGTTTCAGGGTGATGGGGAGGGTTTTTGACGCCAGCGTCGGTGAAATTTGGTTTGGAATGTCGATGTCGACGTCTGTGAGATTTGGCCAAAATTGAACCGATATCGGCCATATCTTGGGTAGATTTTCAGGGGACTGGGCTCAAGGACGATTGGAGTTCCATTTGGGGTGTTGTCACAGCTAACTAGTCGCTGGGCGATTTGTATTTGGGATGTGTTTGCGAAATTTTAAACTTACAGGGACTTAACTTAATTTTTAGGGATGTATTTACTAAATTTTAAAATTTTTTGTCAGCTGGTTTGACCGTCAATCAAATTGGTTAAACTAGTCAACCCGGGACCCAGCAATTTTGCCGGGTTTCACCCTGAGTTGGGTTTTAAAACATTGTCTGCAACAACAACAGATGAAGATCATTAACAACCATAATTGATTAATTATGGTTGGCCCTCCTTTTTCTTTGAGAATTGATATCAGGGAGAAGTTTTTGGGCGAATATCTCACTCAATCATATTGCAATCTAACCACCTAATGAGACACAAACCTCGTCGAACGGCGACTACAGTGCTACCAATGGTGGTCGATTTTGGCAAACAAGTGGTCAATCGAAGCAAGCGGTGAAGACTGAGTGAAGATGCCGAAGACTGAAGATGTCGAATGAAACTGAAGGAGGGATTTAGATTTTAGGATTTGGGTATAAGAGTTAATCCGATTTTGGCAGAAAATCGATTGAACCGATGGTTTGTTACAGTAACTCCAGTCCAACCGTGGGTCAAAACAGGTGAACTCTTATCCCTGGTTTTCCACCCTGCCCAGTGGCCCGTTCTCGGTCTGACCGGTTAAACCAACCAGGCCAAGCCGAGTTTTACATTGGTTGCTACAGTATCCCTTTGCTCCAACCCCTAGCGAATCTAGGTGAAACAATCTCCCCTATTTTTAGGCTCTCTAGGCCCAGCTTACCGGCCAAGTCCTGATCAAACCAGTCCCACCAGCTGGGTCGGGCCGGGCCGGGTTTTAAAACAATGGTGCCAACAAGGATAAAAGCTTCACAAAAGTGGTACTATTTTTCACTGTGCAATTTGTTTTCTCACTTGCAAGTACATTGCACAGTGAAAAACAGTGTTTATATCTTCAAACAATGAAAACAATAAGAAATAGAAGGGAATTTCAGCATTTGCAATATTGATAATAAAAATATGAATACAGGAATGTGAAAATCCATTCACTAAAACCACCAAAACCACATCATACGAGTATTATTACACATTACACTTTCCCTCACCTTCCTACAGAACCCACACTTGAAATATAAGCTTATGACCATTAATTTCTTTCTAAGCCAATCCCTACTTGATGGAGCTACTAATGCCTATAAAAGAGCATCTGACTTAGCCGGAACAAGCAGAACAGAAATGGGATACATAACAATGTAAAAAGCATCATCGGTAATACATCTACAAATAAACCCGAGTAAATGGTTCATAGGCATCCCAGACAGCTTCTGGAAGTTGAAAAATTCACGAAGTAGCTTTCTTCTATTTAGTCGAGCTTGACATTAGAATACAGAAGGGTGTCCCTTGTAAGAGGCATATTGAGAAGGAAGTAAATCTGCAGCCAAAAGAAAAAAACAACATAAGGGATTTAAAATGACAAAGATCTCGATACTTAATGCAGTAAATCAACTTTAAGGAACTCTTATTGAATTAAAAAATGTAAAATTCCTGAATATCTCAGTACGCTCATCAGCATGGCAAGCAACCATACCTAGACAATGACCAAAACTAGCAAGAACTACTAAATTGACAGAAACAGACACAAGTCAACTAAAAAAAAAAAAAAATTGTCCATGATTCAATATGTCCCTGCTTAAAGATATCCCATAGATTCCCTTACAGATCTTTCTACTCTTACAATGTTACTAATGAGTCTATATCTTACATGATCCTATGTCCTCAATTGCAACCATGTGAGAATTAGCAAATAGTCTGCCCGTAATTAAAATTCATTTTAGATTTAAAGTTGCATATGTAATTACAAAAGCCAAGACAAACTCTGCAGTCATCCAGTTAAATTCCCTTACTAATCTTTATCATTTAAGAAATCATCCACTTCAATAGGTCTAACTTACAAGCAACAAGAATGTAAGACCCTTACTTTTAAAGAAAAAAAGGTATGCTTATGATATTTATGATCCTAAACAATAGGAATGACATTGACATGTATTTTATTTATCAGTGAGAGTACCGAGGCAAATGCAACTATGTACTTCATGGACTCTGAGATAGAGTTATGCTTCACACAATAGGACTAGGCTTTAAATAAACTAAAATTTTAAACATTTGCAAGTTACAACACCTTTTATCAGAGTTCAAGGAAATCTAATATTGGATTTTACTTCCATATTGTTAAAAATGCTATTGATATCACCTATCATGTAATATCTGAATCAATCTCCTCATAGTACATTTAGAAGAGCATTTCCAAGTCTACCTATACCTAATCTCATAAAAAACACAAATCACTGAAGAGCAAATCAGAATTATAGATGGTATGTTGCTAAAGCTGGGATGAAATATGAAAGACTTTAAAAAATCGCTGAAGTATGTTAAAAGAAGTTTAAAATGAAAGAATAGTTTTCACATACACAACTTGCATCTTATTTCTTATTTACAAAGAAGTCAGACACATAAATAACTGTGCATACCCACACAAACACATATGTTATGCTCATGTACTAGAACTGTATAGGCATATAGCAGAATCAGAACAAAATGTGAGGTAGATAATTTGGATCACTGTTTCTACCAAACACTAACATCCAATATAGTTTCAGGTATAAAACAGGAGTCAACCCTTTGTTAAAACTGTATAATCTTACCCCTAAAAGGGTCGCAATGAGAAGAATGATTCCCGTTAACCAAGCAAGGGTCCGTCTAACCAACACCACCTCAGCAGCCATGGTTGCATTAGAATTGCTTTCTGTTTCGGCCAACCAACGTGAAGATGGCCTGGAAGTGAACATCAAATTCAACACGGTTTCTGATTCTGGAGGTGATGCACCATTAAAGAATATAACTCCAACAATTTGACCTGCCCAATAATAAATCCCAAGTCACAACAGGCATTTACAATCACAGGAAACATTAGATTAACCAATTAAAGCACAGTAATAAAATTAATTTAAAAAAACCAAATTGTTAGCTACAATTTTTCAAAAAACAATTGTTACTTGAAAGTGCAGTACTAGCATGCATTGAGTGTCAAGGCTTGAATGCACAATCTGCAAAATTTTATCAAGAAATTCTCAAGTTGACAAGCATATCACACCAAAAACAGGGAAACAGTGACTAAAATTTGCAAACACATATCAAGCAAACTAGGTTTGTTTTCCACAGACCATGGCACGGAGAGCCATAAAGATGCAGCCCAGAATAAGATGGCACTAGAGCCGACGGCGGGGACGGCACGGCCTGGCACGAAAAAAGCACAACACGAAAAAAAGCATGACACGACATGGCACGAAAATATGCAGGCCGTGCCGTAGGCCTTAAAAAAAGCTCGTGGGCTGACACAGCACAGCACGAAAAAAATAAAATTAATAGCTATTTTTTAAAATAGTCGTTACCCCCTTGTGCAAGGGGGTAACGGTTATTTTTTGCTAAAAATTCCCAATTATTTCTCTAATTTTTTCACACTCAATTCCAATCTTCATTCTCCTCTCTCTCAACTCTCAAGCTCTCATAATCTCTCTCAAATTCTCAATTATTATTTTCATCGAATTTATTTTAATTTTTAATCAAATTTTAAAGTGGATCCAAATTCAAATGAATTTAATCCTTTTGATTATTTTGATAATGAGTCACCACCACAAAATCTATCACAGCCACCCCCAGAAAAGAAAAGAAAGCAAAAATCAATGGTTTGGAAACATTTTACTCAAGCACAAGAAATAGTTCGTGGTGAAATCGTGCGACGTGCAGTGTGCAAATATTGTGGTTCTAATTTGGACGGTTTGAGTACAGGTGGCACTAGGCATCTTCGGAGGCATATAAAGGAACATTGCAAAAAAATGTCACAACATTTAAAAGGGCAACAATAAATTTCATTTACAAGGGCATCTGTTGCATCGGTATATGATTTAACTAGTAATCAATCAAACAGTGTAATGGGCGAGATTTCTAGCTTCACATATAGTCAACAAAACATGAGAGACTATATAGCTAGGTACGTTATCGCAACCGATCAACCTTTTTCATATGGGGATGATCTAATTTTAGAATGGTATATGCAAAATAGTGCACAACCTGCTTTTAGGAGAGTTCCTAGAAATACTTTAAGAGCTGATATTTTTAAAATTTACAATGAAATGAAAACAAATATTTAAAGTACACTTAGTAAATTTAATGGAGTTATTTCGTTTACTTCTGATTTATGGACGGCCACTAATCAAGATTTAGGATATATTTGTGCAACGGGTCATTTTATTAATTCAGATTGGCAACTAGAAAAAAAAAAATTCTTGCATTTCGTGGATTTTATTCTTTAAAAATAGAACTAATATCTATTATATGATATAAGACTAAACAAGTTGTAGGATAATAAATACATGAAATGTATGAAACGCAAAGAATATAATATAATAGATATTATCCTACAACTGTTTATTATCGTACAACTTGTTTAATCTTATATCATATAGTAGATATTAGTTCTATTTTTAAAAAATATAATACACGAAATGCAAGATTTTTTTTTTCTAGTTGCCAATCTGAATTAATAAAATGACTTGTTACACAAATATATCCTAAATCTTGATTAGTGGCCATCCATAAATTAGAAGTAAACGAAATAACTCCATTAAATATACTAAGTGTATTTTTAATATTTGTTTTCATTTCATTGTAAATTCTAAAAATATCAGCTCTTAAAGTATTTATAGGAACTCTTCTAAAAACAGGTTGTACACTATTTTGCATATACCATTCTAAAATTGGATCATCACCATATGAAAAAGGTTGATCGGTTGCAACACCGTACCTAGCCATATAGTCTCTCATGTTTTGTTGACTATATGTGAAGCTAGAAATCTCGCCCATTACACTATTTGATTTACTACTAGTTGAATCACATATCAATGCAACAGATGCCCTTGTAAATGAAATTAGTTGTTACCATTTTAAATGTTGTGGCATTTTTTGCAATATTCCTTTATATGCCTCTGAAGATGCCCAGTGCCACCCGTACTCAAACTGGTGCACGTCGCACAATTTCACCACAAATTGTTTCTTGTGTTTGAGTAAAATGCTCTCAAACCATTGATTTTTGCTTTTTTTTTTTTTTTTTTTTCTAGGGTTGTGGTAATGACTCATTATCAAAATAATCAAAATGATTAAATTTATTTGAATTTGGATCCATTTTGAAATTCGACTAAAAATTAAAATAAATTCGACAAAAAAAATAATTAAGAGTAGCTTCTTCTATTTAGTCGAGCTGGACATTAGAATACAGAAGGGTGTCCTGTAAGAGGCATATTGAAGGAAGTAAATCTGCAGCAAAAAAAAACACCATAAGATTTAAAATGACAAAGATCTCGATACTTAATGCGTAAATCAACTTAAGGAACTCTTATTGAATTAAAAAATGTAAAATTCCTGAATATCTCAGTACCTCTCAGCATGGCAAGCAACCATACCTAGACAATGACCAAAACTAGCAAGAACTACTAAATTGACAGAAACAGAACAAGTCAACTAAAAAAAAAAAAAAAAATTGTCCATGTTCAATATGTCCCTGCTTAAAGATATCCCATAGATTCCCTTACAGATCTTTCTACTCTTACAATGTTACTAATGAGTCTATATCTTACATGATCCTATGTCCTCAATTGCAACCATGTGAAATTAGCAAATAGTCTGCCCGTAATTAAAATTCATTTTAGATTTAAAGTTGCATATTTAATTCAAAAGCCAAGACAAACTCTGCAGTCATCCAGTTAAATTCCTTACTAATCTTTATCATTTAAGAAATCATCCACTTCAATAGGTCTAACTTACACACCAAGAATGTAGACCCTACTTTAAAGAAAAAAAGGTATGCTTGATATTTATGATCCTAACAATAGGAATGACATTGACATGTTTTTATTTATCAGTGAGAGTACCGAGCAAATGCAACTATGTACTTCATGGATCTGAGATAGAGTTTGCTTCACACAATAGGACTAGGCTTTAAATAAACTAAAATTTAAACATTTGCAAGTTACAACACCTTTTATCAGAGTTCAAGGAAATCTATATTGGATTTTACTTCCATATTGTTAAAAATGCTATTGATATCACCTATCATGTAATATCTGAATCAATCTCCTCATAGTACATTTAGAAGAGCATCCAATTCTACCTATACCTAATCTCATAGAAAACACAAATCACTGAGAGCAAATCAGAATTAAGATGGTATGTTGCTAAAGCTGGGATGAAATATGAAGAACTTTAAAAAATCGCTGATGTTTAAAGAAGTTTAAAATGAAAGAATAGTTTTCACATACACAACTTGCATCTTATTTCTTATTTAAAGAAGTCAGACACATAAATAACTGTGCATACCCACACAAACACATGTTATGCTCTGACTAGACTGTATAGGCATATAGCAGAATCAGAACAAAATGTGAGGTAGATATTTGGATCACTGTTTCTACCAAACACTAACATCCAATATAGTTTCAGGTATAAAACAGGAGTCAACCTTTGTTAAAACTGTATAATCTTACCCCTAAAAGGGTCGCAATGAGAAATGATTCCTGTTAACCAAGCAAGGGTCCGTCTAACCACACCACCTCGCACCATATGTTGGCAAAATCTTTTGGGATTTGTTGGCCATATCTAAAGCTATTGTGCTTTTTGTAAAGAAAAATGGTGATTTTTGTGAGGTAATACGTTCAGTAGTGTTTTTAAAGAAATTTCAAGCATTTCGACACCTATCCCAAAGCTCATAGTAGTGGTGTCTTCTGCTAGTTTAAGCTTTATCTTCCTCAAGAAAGGTTGTGCGGAGGCAGTAGAAGAGATGTTGCAGGTTATTTCAAACCATTCATTGAAGAAGCAACCTTCTCCAATTCCAAAGGGATATCTTATTTGGACTTTACCACAACTTGTTGGACATGATGCTTCAGATGCTTTGAATTTGATTGTCCAAAGTAACAAATTGATTATGATCTGCAACCACTGTTTTAAAACCTGGCCTGACTTGGCCGGTTTAATCGAGACCCAGAAGCTTCACCGGGTCGGGTTTACATTGTTTTTATTCATCCAAAATCCTAAAATTTGGGATGATGATCGGCAAACAATTGAAGGCCGGGATGTTGGGGTTTTTGAAGAAAAAGTTCCAGTGAGTGCAATGGTGGTGACGGAGTTGATTTCCGATGAGTAAATCGGCCGGAAATTAAAAAAAAAATTGGCGACGGCAACAACCGGCTTTTGCTAGCGATTGGCGAGGCTAACGAGGGTGGGATGAGGTGGGTTTTGGTCGGGAGAAAGAGGGGAGTAGTTTCAGGGTGATGGGGAGGGTTTTTGACGCCAGCGTCGATGAGATCTGGCTTTGAATGTCGACGTCGGCGTTTATGAGATTTGGCCAAAATTGAATCGATATCGGCCATATCTTGGGTAGATTTTCAGGAGACTGGGCTCAAGGGACGATTGGAGTTCCATTAGGGGTGTTATCACCGCTAACTAGTCGTTGGGCGATTCGTATTTGGGATGTGTTTGCGAAATTTTAAACTTATAAGGACTTAACTTAATTTTCAGGGATGTATTTACTAAATTTTAAAATTTTTTGTCAGCTGGTTTGACCGTCAGTCAAATTGGTTAAACTAGTCAACCCGAGACCCGACAATTTTGCCAGGTTTCACCCCGAGTTGGGTTTTAAAACGTTGTCTGCAACAACAACAAATGAAGATGATTAACAACCATAATTAATTAATTATGGTTGGCCCTCCTTTTTCTTTGAGAATTGATATCAGGGAGAAGTTTTTGGGCGAATATCTCACTCAATCATACTGCAATCTAACCACCTAATGAGACACAAACCTCGTC